AGATGGCTCTACTTTTTAGAATGAAGTAAAATAATATTGACAAAAACTTTAATAGTGCTTACTACGTACCAGGCACCAACTTGTTCACTATCATATATATTTGTACACACACACACACACACACATCTCAAATCCTCACAACTGTAGATTCAATTAGATAAATTCAACTAGATAAATTCAATCAAGTAGATTCCGACTGACAGATAAGGAAACTGAAGCACAAATAAGTTACATCATTTGCCCAAGGTCATACCACTAGTAAGCTAATTAGCATTTGAAGTTAGGCAGTCTGATTCCACATTCTCTACTCTTAACCCACTATGTTTTACTGCTTCTACAATCTTTATAATTCTCCTTCATGCCTAGTACAGAGGTTTGCACATTGTAGGTGCTCAATAAAAAATTTTTTTTCAGCAATTTTCTTTTAGGATCCTGAATCTTTACATATCCCATAAGTTTTACACATAATCATCAATTTTCCCTAAGAGAAGCAGTTGAAATAGAATTTTAAATGATGGCTACTACTCTGCCTACTTCAAGAAAGTATTGAGGGGACTAATAGTTACATAACATTTGCTATAAAGTACATTTGATTTTAAAGGTGGCAGATGCCACCTTTGGCAATTGTACTTTTGGCAATAGGTCCTTGAATGATTTCAGTTGAGGCTAGAGAAGGAAATTGTAAACCTGCAACACTTATGTGAGCACAACTCCTTTGCTCTTTCTTTCTTTACTCTGAACTTGCCTCACCCCCTGTGTAAGGACAAGAGGAATCATGTCATCTCAGCAGTGCTATGTATTTTTATAGCTGCCTTTCTACCTCTATTCATCTACCTAGAACACCCATTTTTCTGTCCATTCATCCATCCATCCATCCATCCATCCATCCATCCATCCATCCATCCAATCTACCCATCATTCATTCATCCATCCATCCATCTATCTACCCAACATTATATACCATGTATCGCTAGGTGCTTAGTATTGATTCTAGAAAGGGGGAGATGGAAAGACAATAGTAGATTCTTCCTATTAGTTCATATTATTCTGAAGTCACATCTAGCCATTCAAGATAATTGCTTTAGAGTTGATAAAAACCCATTACAAAAAGAAGTGGGTTTTAATCCATAATCTAGGATTTAAACATTCTTTAGCTAGAAAGTTCTATTGCTTTTTTTTTCTTTTGATGTCCTTGTCTTCTTTTTGGATGAAGTTCATCATTGGGTGTAATTATACTTTATCCAACGTCTTGATTTATAGTTGACATTTATTCACTCATCAATGAAAGAAGGAACAGACAATTCTCTAAGGAACCTTTTCATAGGACATTAACTGTTAATTCTTCTGCTCAAAAGTGGTCCTTTGAAGAGCCATCTGTGTTTGCTGGCTACTCTCAGATGGTAGTCACAGTAGGCCTGTGTCTGAGGCTGGTCCTAGAGCATGATGTCTTAGCAAGAGTACTTGGCATCTCCTGGATAAGGTGGCTGGCCATATGGGCTCAGGTACTAGCTGGCTTTCATCGATCTAATAACCCAGGATCCACTTTTCAACCACCACAGCAGTGGCTTGGCTTCCATCTGTGGCTTTGCTACGCTTCTGATTGGACTGTTTTCTCCTAGATTGAGCCTTGGGCATATTCATATATTATATAGCCTGGATTTTCAGTGAACCATGAAGGAAGAATGGCCCTGAAGTAGAAGGCATGGAAGGACCAGGCAGAAAGGAGGTTTCTTTATACCATGACATCATCAAAGTAGGCTACTTGATGAAATGCTTTGCTTCTTGGTTCTTGGTTTAGTCATCTTCTTTTCCCAAGGGTCATCATTTGCTTGGCTGTACACTTACCTCTCTCAACTCTTCTAATCAACAATTTGGATGATCTTGAGACTTTTTGCTTTATTATCTGTGAAGACCCTAACCATACTGTTTAAATCAAGGAAGGTGGAGGAGAAGATCTCTAAGACCTACATTCTATGATTCTACAGAGCTTTTCTTTTCCCTCAGGGAAATCCATCAACCCTGCTCTCATTTACTCCCTTCCTTCCAGTGGGAAAATATTAAATTAGTAGGAGACTTCATGGGGCCACTTCTACCCCATCTTTTTCTTTTGGAATTCTTATTAGTCCATATTGATTATGTGCTATTCTCTGCTGGCCAGAAGGAGGGCATCTTAGAACCCAAGCACATCTTTACCCATTTCTGGATCTCAGTATTCTTATCTTTAAAATGAAGTGATTGAACCAAATGATTTCTGAGGCCTTTTGCAGCTCATAACATGGTCCTAGAATTTCCATGGAGCTGAAATCCCTAAGATTTCAGATCTAAAAATCTAGGAATCTATTTGTGTGTTTTGGAGAGAAAGTAAGAGAGAGAAACAAAGCAATAGAGAGTATTCTAGGAATCAGAAGGCAGTAGTCATATATCAGAAGTCTCCTGTTATGGGCTGGATTGTGTCACTTACCCCAAAATTTACATGTTGAAATCCCAATCTCCAGTACCTCAAAATGTGACTGTATTTGGAGATGGGGAGTCAACATACAGGTAATTAATTTAAAATGAGGTCATTATGGTGGGTCCTATTCCAATATGACTATTGTCCTATTGGAGGGATAAATTTGGGCACAAAGATATGCATAGAAGTAAGATGATGTGAAGACAATGGGAGAAGAAGGCTAATTACAAGCCATGGAGAAAGGCCTGGAACAGATTCTTCTCTAATATTTCTCAGAAGGAACCAACCCAGCCAACATCTTGATCTTAGACTTCTAGGCTCCAGAAGTATATGAAAATAACTTTCTGCTATTTAAGCTACCTAGTCTGTGGTATTTGTTATGGCACCCCTAGCAAACTAATACATCTTTTATATCTGATTCCAAAGTGGAAAAAAAAGTTCAATGACCTTCTCTCATAGGTTACCTCACAGGCCTCACAGGCCTTTAGACAAATACTGGATGCCCTTTGGCCCAAACCAAGACATGCAGCCTACAAGTTCATTGCAGGAAAGGAAATCTGGGAATTTCTATGACACAATTCAGTCTTGTGGAGAATTTGGGGCTAATATTTAACTCTGGACATATATTGACATGAGCAATTCTTCTATTATAGATTGACACAAAATTTTTAAATGCATACAAAAGCCTTGATTTTGTAATCTTAATTTTTTTATTTAATTGTTTTTTGGGAGCAGGAAATTTGACTCTTTTATAATATTTGTTCTTTTTTCATTCTTGCCACTGCCTTTCTTTGTGTTTTCTTGGGGATTACGTGCTTCATTTCCATTTTCTCCATGTTTAATAGCCACATTCTATAAGAGACTCTTCAATCCTTCCATCATGGGTATTAGCTAGCTCCACTAGGCTACTGTTCTTCATTTCCTCTAGAATTGCCCACTTTTCTGTATTGCTGTCTGCTTCTCTCTCATCGTCTTTGCCCCTCTCTGCTCTTCTCCTCCATTTTTTTTTTGCTTCTGTGTTCAGTTTCTAGCTCCAGTCTCCCTCCTCTGCTCTTTCTTCTTTCCTTTCATCTGCTGACTTGCTTCCGTCCCCTCCTTCTGTTTCCCTCCTGGGTGTTTCTTTGGCCCACCTTTCCTTCTCCTCTGAGACTTCTTTTTCTTGTTGGTAGTTGGGGGCTGATACTGTAAACATCACAAAAATAATGGCATTGAGAACAGGTGGTCCCCTTGGTGTCCCGGAAGACAGCCTTAGAGTTAGCCCAGAATGCCTGGGCACCATGGGATGCGGGAGACAGCACTGGTGTTGGACAGGTGTACACCTCAGTCACCAGACCCAACATTCCAGAACTTTGGGGCTCATCTTGGACCCCCACCCTCTAACCAACTAGAAATTGAGAGGAACTGGGTCACCTGGGAAGAAAGAGAATTAACTTGCTTTCACCATCCCCAGCACAACTTTCCAGTCTCATTCACCTAAAAGTAACTTCTGTGGTGCTTGCTCCCTGATCATTGGCTGCTGTGTTCTCTGGACACCAGGTTGTGCCCGTCTCTTTCCACCCCTCAAGGTAGCTCCCTGGAGTCACATCTTTGCTCAACCCCCAGGGTCCTCCGCCAGTCTCGGCTGCAGTTTACGACCAGGAAGCAGCAAAGGTGTCATTGTAAACATCTTGGTTTCTCGTCTTGGGCATTCTGCACTATGCTAGTCTTGGCTCCAAAGATTAAAACCACAGGTGGTATTTTTTTGTTTTGTTTGATTTTTCCTTTTGTCAACAGAATCCCCACGGGAACACTCCTTACTCAACCTTCCTCTCTTTCTTCTTCATTCTTCACCTTCTCTTTAGTGCTCATTCTTTCTACCTCATGACTAAAATGTTAATCACTTATATTCACTTGTTTACTCGTTCACTCATTCATTCATTCAACAAAAGTTTATCAGGTGACAAACGTGCATCAGATGACTTACATGCTCTTGATGGCAGAGATAGTACCTCTAAGATTTGTTTAAATTCTAGCTTTTAAAAAAGACACCTGCAAATTTTGGTCATTAGAAATTTCTAGGTATTCTTTGAGCCAAACAGAAATTTCTATTTTTAATCTTTTTCTTTAACTATGTTTGCCACTGGATGTGAATTTCAAATAGTTCCCATTTTAGAGTTGTGTTTTTTTACACCTTTGCAGAATACCAGGACCTGAAAGTTTCCAGGTTTTGTTCTTAATTACAATTATGACAGATGTTAACACTTGCCCAACAGCTGTGTTGTGCAGACACATGGAAAGCACTGTATGTGCAGTAAGTTAATTCTCCGAGAGACCTGATGAGGTAGCTATTACCATTCTTCACCACCTTCTGGTTATCTGATTGTCCAGAGCAGTGCAAAAGAGAATTTGCAATGCGGAGTGACCAAAGGGATGGACATCTAGCGTGAGAATGGAGCTATTTTGACCTCTAAGACAGGAGACCTTGGGGACTAAATTACTGTTTGGCCCACCCACACATATAAGACACAGATCTCTTGAGGATGGCGGGGTCCCACTCCAGCTGGCTTACCTTCTGAGCCTTGGGGACGTCAGTGTGGCGCTGGGCACGGACGGAGCGGGCTGACTTGGCAGGCTTGAGCGGGGCGCAGTACATCTCCAGTCTCCTCAGATCACAGCTTCGGAAGCAGCACTCATCCACAATGCCTGTCTGAATTGCCCTCCGACTGTTGGAGCCATACCCTGTGGGCTTGTCTGTACAAATGAAATGCAGAGTGGCCTGGCTTTAGAGTGGAATATTCCAAATTCATGGTTCCACCTAGACTCTGAAGACTCTCCTCTCCCCATGCCTAGTCATCCCACACATTTGTATGTGAACCTCTCTTTGAAGCTTCTCCAACAATTCCTGTTCCTATAGATCCTTCTGGATTCTAGTATGTCTCCAGGAACCTGTATCACACTCATTTACACTCATTCACAACATACTTTGTGTTAGTTCTCCTGATGTTCTCAGCAACCTTCAGCCAAAAAACTGTATGGCCCAATCCTACCCTTTCCTTATATATTGGCTTGAGAGGTGCTAGGAATATTAATAAAAGAGGACCATGCATTCAGTTTCCTTTACCTTTTTAGAAAATTTGCATCGTTTTTATATGCAGGATGGCTCAAATATTTGCTCTTTTGCTTAGTTGCTTCCACTGTATGAACATCAGTGAGATTTTAAATCTAGGAAAGACTCCTACTTTCCTGGTGTGGAGGCTGAAACTTGGGGTTGAGAAGGACCTTCTATAGGTCATTCATCAGTAAATGGTAGAACCAAGAGTTTAACCCAGATCTTCTCTCTGCCAAGCCCAAGCGCCTCACAGAGCCTGGAAGACCTGTTGCACAACTCTGGACAAGTCATTGAAGCTTCCTGAGCCTCAGTTTACTCATTTGTAAAGTGGGATTAATGATATCTTTCTTGTGAGGGTTGTTTGAGGATTACATGAGATAATATATGGAAAGTACTTAGAGTACCACTAGACACATAGTAGGTTCTAAATAAATATTGGGTTACTTTCTCTGAGCACCCCTTCCCAGGAACTTAAATGGTTTGTGAAGAAGCAGTGTTACTGTTGACTGCATCCAGAAACGTTGGAACTTGGAACTGATGACAATACCGATGTGATAGGGCTCTCTCTCCTATCACCCCAGAGAGACCAGAACAATCAATTCTGTCTTCTTATAGAATAACTATTAGACCGAGACAGAATGAACTAAATGTCCACCTTTCCTGTGACCTGGATTGCCCATAGGGAACACGATGAGTCAAATTTCTCTTGATATTTGCAAATCAATTAGACCTCTTTACTTGGCAAGTAGGTTTTGGTCTGGTTTCATTTTGTTTTGATTTGAATACACTTTTCCTGGCTCTAGAATGAAAAGAAAGGGCAAAACAAGCTTACATGGACCTTAAAATGTACCTGGATCCTTTGTAAGCTTTTTGTCGTAGCAGAACTCTTGTTAAAACGAATCTTGCTTATGCACCAATATATAAAACAGACAGAAGTAAAAGTGCCCTGACTCAGGCAAGGGTGGGGGGACCCTGTCTCAGCTTTCTCTCCTGTCCCTTAACTCCCTTGGGAGGTAGGAGGGGTAGTGGGGAGGGAGGGCTGGTTTTCTCCACTGACATTCAGATTTCATGGTGGAAAATGTGTAAACCATTGATCTAGAAGAACCCAATTAATCAATCTGACATATATTTGATCTTAACTGCTGACACAGGAGACAGCACTATATTTTACATTTAAAAAGTCTACATTTGCATAATAATGACACTGTTCTTTAGGATGGAGTTTTGAAAGTCAAAATCCACAATGTATATTTTGAACTCCCAGGGTAATGGCCCACCACCAGCTTAGTCTGGCAGCCTTGTGGCCCAAAGGGCCAACTGTTGGTGGCATCCTCTGAGAATACAAATTGTTTTCCCGGTGTTTAGCAAAGGAGCCTGGGGATGCTTCTTCACAGAAGGCAGGTGTATTATCATTCTTAGGGCAGCAGAGGGTAGTAGCTCAGTGAGGGTTCAGTTTGTGGTCTCTCTGGGTGGGATTTGCTGCTTTAGCTGGAGACAAACCCTATGGGCTCCTTGTGATTGAGGGGTTTGGGGGAACCAGGCAGCTGGCCCCTACTGGTGCCTCAGCAGGATTTCCACTTGCCATGGAAGATCAGCTGGTGTAGAAGACTCAGTCTATAAAATAGCTGTGCTTTTTTAGTCCACAGATCAAGAATTTAGGGAAAGAGAAATTTAGGACTCTAAAAAATGTTTTGTAAAGAAAGTACCTTATGTCCATATTTTTAAAAATGTTAAAATAGTGGTATAAAGACTTGGATTTGGCTATAAATGCAGCTATCAGTTATCCTACCACAATCCTAGAAAGATGTTTTTCTTTGTCTATTCATAGTGTCTACAATGGACTGATTGTACTTCATTGGGCGATATATGAATATAACTATCTATTGCCTTTTAAAGTTTAATTAGTCCTTTGAAGTGTCCTATAGGCTTGGTTTCTGGTTCTATAGCAAGATATTTAATAAAAAATCATTTCTTGCCAACTGAGAGGCCACAGTTGAGGGTCCAAGTTTTGCCCTTTATCTTCAAATGCCTCACGTTACTTCTTTTTCCAGAAACAAAATAAAGATACTTATTGCTATGGCCTAACACTAGAAACCCAATACAGTGTGGCTTACTAGAAAGGCAGTAACATAATTTGCTCCAGTATCAAGTTTGGGAAAAAAAGGGATTTTTAATGACCTCTAAATTGCAGCTCTGGTCATTATGACTAATTTTTAAATGTGATAGAGTGAATTGTTTTATTCTTTCCTTTAAAAACTTCCCATTAGGCACTATGCAATTCTGCTCCAGTGGGTGGAATCAGACCTTGGTAGTTGAACGGGAAACAAATATTGGCTTAATATAAGAGAAAATTTTTCTAACAATTTGGACTCAAAAGTTTTAAAAATGGGACAAACTTCTTTTAAAAGTAATGAATTTCCCATTGCTGGAAGTAGTTAAGTAAAGGTGGTATGAACACCTGTGAGAGATGCAAGGATAATATTCCTGTTTTGAACACAGTACATGGTGCTATGGTTCTTTCTATTCCAAAGAATCTGTAACAAGTAAAGAAATGCAGAAGAAAACCCATCCGGGCCAAATGTTCAATATGGTTGGAAGCGATTTATGTTGTCTTCAGGAAAGAGGTTAGAATACTTTCTAACTCAGAAGATGAAAATTTATTTTCTATTTATCATTTGAGCTTCCCCAAGATGCTCAAAACATTTTTCTTTACTTCAGGGGTGGGGAAGGTCTAGCCTGGGGGCCTTATGAGGCCCTCAAAATCATTTGGTCTAGCCCTGCCATGCATTAGGGGTGAGTAAATTTAATGCTTGACCAAATATAGTAGGCTCATTTTTAAGTTGATAATTTTGTAAGGCCCGCATATGATGTTATAAATATCATCATATATTTCTGCCCTTGGCAGAAGAAAAGGTTCCCCACTCCTGCACTTGATGCTAAAACAAAGGACAGGTGACTGGGATAGTTCCTTTTGCAGCTAGGTACAGTCTCAGAGTTCTGTCCTACTGGCATCATGAAGTATCTATACACTCACTTGGTCATTAGAGTGAACAGGCCTTTATAAAAGTTGGCCACTTAATGTAGGCCTTGACTTGTCTTATCGCTTGTGTAGTCACAGTGCACTACTGTATCTTGAAAGTTGGCCAACAGACAGAATTCCAATGGTTAAACAGATGGCTTCTATAATAATAGCATTTCCCTTTAAATAATGCATGATCAGTGGAGTAATTCAATAATCTTCAGGGCAAACTTGCTAGTTACAAGGATTTGGGGCAGAATTGTGGCATCATCAAAACCACACCAATTAGCTGAGTCTCACATTTTGTCTGGGTTGCAAGCTCCTCACTTCCCTCCATCCCTGAAAGAGAAGGTGTAATGCTGAGAGTTCCCGAGGGTCATCACTTCTTGAGCAGAGAGCTCTAGTCATTCATCACTGGTAAAAATGGTGCTACCTCTACTGGTTCTACATGTGGTTGCGTTTCTTCCAAGTTTCTGGGAAGGCAGTTGGAAACTTCCCCACTTGTTTATTGAGAACGCTTCAATTATTTTAATTTTGCCACTAATTGAAGAATCAGTATTTAAATAATGGAAATGGAAACATTTTCCAAATAGGGAAATATGCAGTTCTGAAGACATATACTTAATCTTTGGGTTCTGAGGAATAAAACTATTCTCTAGAAATTGCTAACAAAAGGAGGTTCTAAATTTGATCATATTTTGAAAGCAGGAAAAAAGAAGTAAGACAATTCAGGTTGGATTTCAAGGGCTATTTCTAGAAAATTCACAGTTATGTTTCTTACAGAAAACACAATGGGATTTTTATAAAAACCTAATTTGCATTTAACTTTGATTAACGGAGGCTTGATTACATGACCAAATATTACTGTTAAAATCTTTAGAAGGCAGAAAGTTAGGTGTCCTGCACTAACTATTTATCCATAACTTCCAGACATGATGACAACTTGGAATAACTGTGTATTGTTAGTTTCTAGCTCAGCATTGCTCCATGGACTACCTTATCTAATAAAAATGTGCTCAGTAGACATAATTTTGCATGGGATAGTAGTAGGAAAGTTGGGTAAAATGTGAGTAATTTTAAAATTGTCTCCATCTTAGCATTTCAATTGCTATTTTCATTTCTGGTAAAATAAGACTCACTTCTCAATATTTCTTACACATTTTGTGGCTTTCTATGGAAAACAGGACTCCTTTCATGAATTCCTAATAGAAAGAAAATTGTGATATGACTATTATCCAGACCCAAAATGTAATACTACCTTAAATGGTTATTATTTTCTGAATAAATAGGATTTACATTTTACTTAAAGCCCCTTGATAAATCAATACTTTACCTTTTAAAAATTTTATGGAAATCACACTTGAGTTAAAACATGTGCTTAGTAAGGATAAGAAAAGAAGCTTTTGCTACCATAACTAGCTGCATCATTATGCACTTAGATTAACACGGGTATGTATACACACATATTCAAACATATATCAAGAATCAAGTGACTTCCCATTAGTATCAAAGCTATTGCCAAACACTGTAAAATCAGAATTGGTTTTGGAGAAGTTTTTCTAAAGTATATACTTAATGCCTGCCTTATACGGTGCTAGAGAACTCTGTACATTTCTGCTTTTC